TCACACACTCCCATTCATTCAGCTGCTTATTCAATCAACTGAGTACATTTTCTACTAGTTGCTGCTGTGTGAAAACAAAGATCGGTGTGCAAGCCGTCCCTTTTGTCTATCCTGCAGAGTTCACAATGAGGTGAAAAAGGCAGCCATCAATGAATCGACCGCATGTGCAAATTTGCAATTACAGCTGCAAGGTTAAAAATGCCAGAAGCTGGTTGAAGAGGTAAACCTACCTGGACTGGGAGGAGATGGGAACTTCAGGGGGTCTCCCTGTGGTCATATACAGTAAACCGCCACTTGAAGAACAGTCTGGAGTTAGAAAGAGGAACAGCGGTCCCAGTAGGGAGGGCACCTGGTACTGAGGGGCAGACCCATGTGGCTGGACCCAGCTTAGTAAATAGAGGAGGTTGGAAACATGCTGTCCTCCACTCCTTTGGAGTCATTTCAGAGAATGAGCTTTGTCCCGAGAGCACTGTGAAAGGAGAAGAGGCAGGGGGTGAGAGTTGTCTGGCAGAGCTCACTCTGGCTGGCAGGGTAGGGCTGTGGGACTAGCCTTTCTCAGCACTGGCATTGTTGTTGGTATTTGGGGCAGGATAATTCTGTTGCTGGGGACTGACCCCTGCAAGCCATAGCATGTTCAAAAGCATTCCTGCTGGACACTTTTAGTGGCAACTGCCCTCATAGTTACAACCAGAACTGTCTCCAGACATTGTCAAAAGTCCCCAGGGAGTCGGGCGATGGTGGCGCATGCCTTTAAAGAGGCAGGCGGATCTCTGCGAGTTTGAGACCAGTCTGGTCTACAAAGCTAGTTCCAGGACAGGCTCCAAAGCCACAGAGAAACCCAGTCTCAAAACAAAACAAAACAACAAAAAAAAAGTCCACAGGGACAAAAAATCACTCCTCATGGGCTGTGTTTAATTTTCTTGGTTGACTACTTCATTTCCCTAGACCCAAACAGAGCCCTGCAGTCCTGAGTGGGGTACCCTTGCAGATCACACTTGAGGCTGCTTCCCTACTATTCCACTATTGCGTAGCTAGGGGCTTGATGCTTGTTAGATAACCACTCCTGAAGAGAATGTCATCCAAGAAGGGTTTCTCTATGTAGCCCTGGCTGTCCTGGAACTTACTCTTACTCTGTAGACCAGGCTGGCTTTGAACTCAAGAGATCCGCCTGCCTCTGCAGCCCCAGTGCTGGGATTAAAGGCGTGCGCCATCACTGGGCCTAACCTCTTCTGTTACCCTTGAACACCACACTCACTTTCGCAGAAACACACACATATGCAGAGTTAAAAATAAAAGTAGGCACTCGAGTGGCTCACTGACTAAGTTCTTGGTGCTTTTACAGAGTATCTGAGTTCAGCTCCCAGCCCCCTCATCAGGCAGCTCACACCCACCTTTAACTCCAGTTTCTGGGGATCTGACACTCCTTTTGAGTTCACCAGGAATGCATAGTGCACACACACACATACATATAACTTCATTTTTAATTGTTTTAATAAAAGAATTGCTCTTCTACATAGATTTGTAGAAAAATTTTACCAACCTGTTCATTCTGTAGTTCAGGCTGGCCTTGAACTTTTGATTTTCCTGCTTCTGCCTCCCAAGTGCTGGGACTACAGATGTGCACCACCACTCCTGCTTTCTGTGGTGCTGGCGACTGAAGCCAAGGCTTCACTCACATGCTGGAGCAACCACTCCCCACTGACCTGGCCCTTACTTTCTAGAGCAGGCTGCCCTTGAGCTGCTGGCAACCCTAACTCAGCCTCTCAGGTGTTTGGAGCACAGCCGCGAGGCACCACACCCAGGGGATTCTGTTTCCTGAGGGCAAATTTCCACAACCAGTTCAAAAAGGGAGCTGAGACCCTAGCCCAGTTTTCAAGACCCAGGAATTTTTTTCATGTCACCCTGCCTTCTTTGGGTTAGAACCCTGGAAGAGAAAGGGCCCAGCACCTTCTCATTTCTTTTTTTTTGTTTTTTTTTTTTGTTTGTTTTTGTTTTTCGAGACAGGGTTTCTCTGTGGCTTTGGAGCCTGTCCTGGAACCAGCTCTGTAGACCAGGCTGGTCTCGAACTCACAGAGATCCGCCTGCCTCTGCCTCCCGAGTGCTGGGATTAAAGGCGTGCGCCACCACCGCCCGGCACCTTCTCATTTCTTGAACTGGCTCCCATCACAGCACCCCGCTTCCCACAATCTCTGTATGGGTTGTTATACTGTATCCAGCATGTAGCATATCCTGCTTGGGGAGGGAATTAAAACCCTACTACGTTTTCCCCTTGCTCCCTCCTTGACGTTCTACAACCCATTGGGTGTGGTGACACACTTCCAGCACTCTAAAGGCAGAGGCAGGTAAATCTTGAAGCTTGAGGTCATCCTGATCTACAGAGTTCCAAGCCAGCCAGTGCTGCACAGTAAGACCATTTGAAAAAAATTTCCTGCTAGGTGGTGGTGACACACACCTTTAATCCCAGCACTGGGAAGTCAGAGCCAGGCAGATCTCTGAGTTTGAGGCCAGCCTGGCCTACACAGAGAAACCCTGTCGTGATAAGCAAAACTCCTACAGCTAAAGCTAGCACTTTTGAGCAGCTTTCTGCCTCCTGCAGGCGAGGCTCCAGTTTGTACTGTTCCACTGTGGCTTTCTGCTGGTTTTGAACCCACAGTTACTATTCTCAATTACTATTCTGCAGCTGCCTTTTCCAGGTCAATGGATAGGCGGTATTGTACCGCCCTATCACCTTCCATTTCTATTAGCCTACCTATTCAAGGTCCCAAGAGAAGGCTGGCCTTGTCACTTAGCCTCCCAGGTTGTTAGGATGCTATCCCAACTTCCACTGAAAAAAAATTTTAAATAGTGATTATTAGTTTTGTTTTGCTTTTTTTTGAAACAGGATCTATGTAGTGCTGGCTGTCCTGGAAATGACTATGTAGAGGCAGATCTATATAGGCTGGTCTTGAATTGGACACACACATGTATCTGGAATGCTGAGCTTAAAGGCATGTACCACTATACCTAGCTATAAATAATGCGTATTATCTTTAAATTATCTATTTGTGTGTCTGCACATAACTTGCAGGTACCCTGAAAGGCTGGGGTCACTGGATCCTCTAGAGCTAGTTACAGGTGGTTGTGTGGCACCTGATGTGGGTGCTGGGAGCCAAACTGGTCCTTCAAAGTGTTCTTAAGCGGGGGCTGGAGAGATGGCTCAGAGGTTAAGAGCACTGCCTGCTCTTCCAAAGGTCCTGAGTTCAATTCCCGGAAACCACATGGTGGCTCACAACCATCTGGAATGAGGTCTGGTACCCTCTTCTGGCCTGTCATACACACAGACAGAATATTGTATACATAATAAATAAATATTTAAAAAAATAGCAAAGTGTTCTTAAGCAATGAGCCATCTCTCTAACCCTGAAAATTTACATACATCAGATTGCTTAAATTTTTTTCATGCGACTACCATAATTCTATCAAGTCACTCTGCTGTGGATTTAAAAGAACTGCCATCCATGACAGCCTTGAGGATTATTTTTGCTGTGCTAGAGAGAACCCAGGACTACACACATGCTAGGCCAGTGTTCTATCTACACCCTAGCCCCATGTTGATGGAGTTAAGAGAGACATGAGCCAAAGATCTGGAGTTTCTAGGTCTCTGGGTTGCTTCAGGAGTTCAAGATGACCCTGGGATAAAAAACAAAATAATCCCCACCAAAAACACTGCCACCACAACCACCAGGTATTTTACTGGCAGCTGTGTAAGTCAGGCAATGTTAAGAATAAGCACCTCTAAGCAAACATGAACTTGAACCAAGCAGAGGTTGGTTCATTTATAAAAACCTCACACTTTGCTGGCCAATCTATCCTTCAGATAGATACACTTAAGGGGCTCAGAACTGGCCTGCTGTCCTAAGTTGGACCTCTGGTATCCACAGGGTAGAAAACTCACTTCAAGTTGTTTGGACCCCCATATACTACACACCTTCAAATAAATGTAAATTCAAATGATTTTAGACACACAAATTTGAATTTTCAAATATCCTTTCCATGGCTTTCAAATGCTTATAAATGCAGAAGCCTGGGATTGGCACTTGAAAGGCAGAAGCAGTTAGAGACCCTGACTAAAGAAAGGCTTGTGGACCTGTGATCCCACCACTTAGGTGGACTAAGGCCAGTCTGCAGCTTCTAGGATCCCTATCAAGCACCAAAAATTAGCCGACAGGATCTGGAAGAGATGGCTCAGCAGTGAGCATTAACTATTTCTTACAGGGACTTGGTTTCAACTCTCTGCACCCACAATGTGACTCGCAACCATTTGTAGTACATTCATGCATAAATCTAATATTAAAAGAGAAGGCCTACAGAGCAGCAGTACTTAACCTCCCTAATGGTATGAACCTCTTAACACAATTCACATGATCCCCAACAATAAAATTACTTTCATTGCTACTTCATAACTAATTGAACTGTTGTGAATCGTAATGCCATGTAAGTATCTGGTATGTGAGACCCTGGGCTCCATCTCAAGCCTAAGTAAGTAAAGCATACTACATACAAGTGGGGGCCTATTGAGATGGCTGTTGGTAAAGCCCCTGCTACACAAACCTGGCTACCTGAATCCAAAACCTGGAACATACTTACAAGTTAAAGACAACTGTAAAGTTATCCTCTGACCTACCTCCCCACTATGGGACATACATGTGTGAACAGTCACAATCTTAACCAAGGTGCTCGGTAACTTATGTGCAAAGTTACTTTTGTTACTTGCCTACATACGCGTCAAGTCAGCAGCGCCCACAGAGGGGCTCACCCTGAAGCTGGTGTAATATAACAGTGTGAGCTGCGGGTGCTAGGCTCCAGATCCAGGACTCCTGCAAGAGTATCAGTCCTCAGCTTCTCTAGCTCCCAGGGAACAACTCTCCACATGCACCGCAGAAGCTTATCTTATTAGGTCTGGCAGGGGAAAGGGAAATTCAGAACTCTACAAACCAGAACAGCAGTTCAAAAGGTTCTACATTTTATTACTGGAGAAACCACTCCCAACTTAAACATGATCAAGTCTCCAGATTGAAAATGTTGAACTTCATCTTCTAACACTCATCAAGGATCACGATTCATCATTAATTGTTTTGCCATTCATTGTTGACTCCTTACAGACCCAGCTTCGTTCTCCTCCAGTGTCTTCTCTTGGAGTTGTACCTGCAGAGAATGAAGACAGAAGTTACAAGGTGGTGCGGTCATAATATAGCCGCTCATTTTTTTTTTAGCAGATTTGGCCTTTTAGGGAATAGGATAATTTAATAAGGAGCTTCCTAGAGAGAGTTCCAGGCCAGCCAGGCCTACATAGCCAAGACCATCTCCAAAATAAATGTTACACGAGTGCAGGGCCCTGGGTTTAGTCAACATGTCAAGAACGGGCTGGGGCAACCCAGTTTAAAAAAAGGGGGGCAGGACACAGTGGCGACACCCCTTTAATTCCAGCCTGGACTACAAAAACCGTCAAGTCAAACCAAGAAGATTCAAAGCAGAACAAGCTTTGCCAACCCTACCTTCTTTCTAGACACCGAGGTAGGAGGGTTGAAAATCCAAAGCCCATATGGGTTGGACAGCTGAGTGCAAGGGCAGGCAATCTACTGAGACCCTGCCTTAAACGAAGCACTGGGGAAACGCCAGGTCTAATACCCACACTGCGGTGCAGGGTCAGATAAGTAAGGGTAGATGCAGACAGTTGAACCCCTTCCTATGGACCATACACAAAGGCTCCTGCAAAGGGCAACAAGATGCTCCTTGGGGAAAGGCGGCTACCATGCAAACCTGGCAGCCAGAATTCACCCCAAGAACTCATTCAGGTAAGAGAAAGCACCTCCCAAATTGCACATAATTTGCTGTTCGTGCCAACGTGTCACGATTTTGCTCCCAGTAAGGTAAAATCAGCAACAGTCAGCACGGCTTTTCTTTCAGCAGGATAATGTCAGCACTCCCACAAGATGAAGCACTGCAATTGCGACCTGCTTTAAATGGTCAAAGCTGGGAGAGGGGCTGGGGGTTACAGTCCCATACAGAGAACTTGCTGAGTAGAGCATGCAGGTGGCCCTCACTCAAACCCATAGCATCCATAAACGTGAGCCAGAAATAGAGAACTCTGTGGGTTAGGGTATATAATCCACCCAGCAAAACACCATTCACAACTCTAGGACATATAGCTAACCCACATATCAACTAGCAGTCCCTACTCTCATCAGCCAGGGCTCCAGGAAACAGGCTCATGCATTTACAGTATGTGTTGGCTCACACCTGTAATCTCAGCACTTGAAAAAGGCAGCACCTACCATACCAGTAGATAGAAGATATCTATTAACTAGAGTGTAAGGCCAGAGTGGGGAGCTGACTTCCAAGTTCAAGTGGCTAAATTAACTGAGAATATAAACCCTCAATTTAGCAGAACCACGGGCAGTCTGGACTATGGAGACCCTGTCTGAGCACAACCCACCAAACCAGTAGCCAGGCGAGACAGCTTGGAAAAGTGCTCACTATCAAGGTTGAAGAACTAAATTCAGTCGCTAGAACCCACGTGGTCAAAGAGGACCAACTCCCACAAACCAGCCTCTGACCACATGCCGGCATGCATCCCCCACACAAATGATTAAAGAAATACACATGAACTGTCCGAACTGTTGCTGGCTGCCTGACAAACTGTCAGGACTTCGCATGCCTATTTTTCCTCCCTCCAAGGCTTCAGACTGAACTCACTAAGTAAGGCACTTCCCTTGCTTCTGAAGTTCTTCTGAAGCTGCCAATTCAAAGATTTCCCACCAGGAAAGTCAATCTCCTCAAGCTTTCATAGGGAAATTAGCAAGGAACTGAGAAAAACCTGCCCCCAAAGCCTAGCTGTGACTGTAGAAACCAACAAAACATTTACAAAAGGTTTGTGGGAGGGATTTCTGGAGCTCTCTATGAGGTTAAGTAGGCAAAGTCACTTCCTTGGAGCCCAATGACCTAAGTTGGATTACCAGGATCCACGTGAATGGAAAAGTGATTCCTGAAAGCCGGCCCCAGCCACGTGCACCTTAGTATTCAGGTCTGTATTGGCCCGACCTTGGAATTCGTGTCTTCAGCCTGTAGCCACTAAGAGCACCACCTGTGTGCACTCAGAGCATCTTTCTCTCGTGTGCCACTTTTTCTAAATTCTAACAGTGCACTCCCCCCCCCACACACAGAAAAGGAGCCGCAAAATGTTTACAAAATGTTACAAAATGGTAAACAGAGAACAGGGGTCCCAGCGTGTTATCTTCCAACTACGAATCCACACACCCCAAATCATGTAAGAGCTGGAGACCCGCAAGCAGGGCAGTAGGGGCTTTACCTGATTTTGTTGCCAGTTTTCATCTGAATCCACTGAGGAATAGGACGATTTTGCTTTTGTTTCTTAGCCAGGAATCGCTTGATTCTGAAAGTCTTGTGAGAAGACTACGAGGAGATACAGTTTAGTGACCCCAGAGCTTACTCGTGTGATTCAGTCCCAATTTCCCTCGCTCTACCACCTGGCCTGCGAAAAATATACACCCGGGGAAATCTCCCCAACACCGAACTGTGGAGTCCTCTGAACCTCATTATTCCCCTCAAGTCAGAGTCCATGGCTTAAACTCAATTGCCTTAGATCAAGACTGATTAATTACAGAGTCAGGTTTTTTTTTTTTTTTTTGATTTTTCGAGACTGGGCTTCTCTGTAGCTTTGGAGCCTGTTCTGGAACTCACTGGCCTCGAACTCATAGAGATCTGCCTACCTCTGCCTCCCAAATGCTGGGGTTAAAGGTGTGCGCCACCATCGCCCAGCTACAGCGCCGGGTTTTAAGTCCATGCTCGAAAACCATGCTAATTTGTTTATCCTGCTGTGCTTCAGAGACAAACATAGAATAGCTAAGGTAGGGGGAACTAATTTACTGCAACTAAAATGACGTTGGGTCAATCCCGCCCAATCATTTAAATCAGTAAGTCTAGGCGCTCTACTTTTTTTTTTTTTTTGGTTTTTCGAGACAGGGTTTCTCTGTGGTTTTGGAGCCGGTCCTGGAACTAGCTCTTGTAGACCAGGCTGGTCTCGAACTCACAGAGATCCGCCTGCCTCTGCCTCCCGAGTGCTGGGATTAAAGGCGTGCGCCACCACCGCCCGGCTAGGCGCTCTACTTTTGAAAACAATATTCTCTACTTTCAAAAGGCAGTGTGCACTTCTCCTGAACCACTGTAAAAGTTCTAGATTTTCCTGAATAAATGCAGCTATGAATCCCACTTTGAACCGAAACGCCAATAAACAATTTATCAGTAGGCAACGACTGGTGTGCTGTTAGCAGACGCTTCCACGGAGTGATGCAGAGCTTCCGAAGACTCTCGTTAAGTCCCATTAACCCTTACTGTGGACAGCTGCCTGTGCAAGCCCCCACTCTGACCTGTGCTCTCTGTGCACGCCAAGACAAGGCTAGCGTTCAATCAGCCGCAATCAACCCTCTCCTTTTGCCCAGAATCGTCGGCTCGAAGCTAAGCGAAGCAAGAACACTGAACTGCTCGCCAGACTGCACGATGAACAGCCCGACACTGTGGGGAGAAATGGGCTTGCTAATTTTATGATGCGTCCGCGATCCGAGCAATGGCCAAACTAACTCCCACAAAAAAAGCTCCCAAAGCTGAAAATGCACCCGCCCCTCCATGCTGTGCAATCCCATCTTAAAGTCATGGCAGCCTGCGGTCTCAGGGAAGCTGCCTAGAATGGGGATGGCAGCCGATAATCTTACCATGGCGAGAAGGCTAGGCGGGTAGGTGGCGCACGATGGCGAAGGAAAGGCAAAGAGAAGGCTCCGACCGGAAAAACGCGATTAGAAGACGCAGCTAGAGGTGGAGCTTAGCTAAGCGGTGTCGCCACGCGTCTCATCTTTCCCCGCCTCCGCGCTCCCATGGGGCCTTGAGAACGCGCGCGGGAATTACACGAAACATAATTCTCAGGCCTCCGCTTCAGTGGCTGTGTTCTCCTAGGCTACCGTCAGGGTCCTGGGGGCACTTCTTTCGTGGCGGGGGTAGGTGGCCTTTAAGAGGTGCCGAAGTAAAAGCCTTTAGCAAAATTCGGGAAACGAAGTGGGCGGGGCCAACACTGAGGAGGGCGGAGAAAGGGCTGCCATCACTTTCGCCCTTCTTTGGGAGGAAGCTTAACGCGAGGGGCGGGGCTTGGGTGTGCGCCTTTTATGGATATGGGCGGCGGGCATATGGGAAGAGGGAGGGAGTGATCGCTCCGCGGTTTTGTAAATTCGTTCCCAGCACCCGTGTCTGGCGCCTCCCGGGCGCCTGTAACTCCAGCTCCCGGGAAAAAGATGCCTTTGGCTTTCACAGGCGCCTGCATTCACGATTTACGTCTACATATCCCCTATGTAGAAGCATACTGACACAACCAGAAGAACTTAAAAAAAAAAGAATTTAATTGAATAAAGACATATACGGGGGCCAGGGAAATGGTTAGTGGATAAAAGCACTAACCACACTAACCATAGGGCAGGAGAGATGGCTCAGCGGTTATGAACACTGGCTGCTCTTCAATTCTCAGCACCCACGTGGCGGCTCATGATCATCTACAACGGTATCTGATGTCCTCTCCCGGCACGCAGGTGTACATGCCGAGCACTCAATAAAACTAAATAATTTTTTTTTAAAAAAAGAAAGAAAAATATTAGCCATGCAACCTTAACAACTCAGTCCTGAAACGCGAAAGCACGGGCCACGGTGGCCAACACCTTTAACCTAGCACGAGGGAGGCAAAAAGCAGGAGTGTCTCTGTGAGTTCAAGGCCAGCCTGGGTATACACAGCCAACTCCTGGACAGCCAAGACTACTTAAGAGAAATAATGAGGTTCAGAGGACTCCACATTTCGGTGTTGGGAAGATTTTCCCGAGTGTATATTTCGCAGGCCAGGCCAGGTGGTAGAGCGAGGGAAATTGGGACTGAATCACACGAGTAAGCTCTGGGGTCACTAAACGGCTTTCATCTCCTGGTAGTCTTCTCACAAGACTTTCAGAATAGAGACCTGTCTCAAAGAAAAGAAAGTTGGCCGGGCCCACACCTTTAATCCCAGCACTTGGGAGGCAAAGGTAGGCAGATCTCTGAGTTTGAGGCCAGCCTGATCTATAGAGTGAGTTCCAGGACAGGCTTCAAAGCTACAAAGAAACCCTGTCTTGAAAAAGCAAAAAAAACAAAAACAAAAAAAAACAAAAAAACAAAAACAAAAAAACCCTTGGATGCAGTGATCTGAATACGTAACCCTGAACATCCCTCCAGCAGGGACACCTGGAAGATTGAGGGCCAGCTAGCCTGGAGCACTCAACACAGCAACAGAAACAAGAGAAGTCCTGCCTCAAAAAGGTGGAAAGCATGAACCTCCACACATGTATGTAAATAAAACAAGTTGGGCATAGGTGTGTATACCTATGATGCTCAAGAGGCAGAGGCAGGAGGATGGTGAGCTGTGAGCCAGCCTAGGTTATAGATAAGACCTTATTTTAAGAAATATTACTGTATAACAAAACTGAAAAGTAAAGATACTTACTATCTGTGGTTATCATAAAAAGTTAAAGATTCCTTTTATCAGTGCTAAGTTATTCTCAAAACTGCCTTGTATATGTCTTCTGGGGAAGGGGACCAGTTCTTGACGTGCAAGGCCTGAGAACTTCATAAACATCCAAGCCATCCTTCACTACCTCACCAATACCCAGCACACACTGTCTTCAGCTCTGAAGTTTCTCCTAGTTCCTTTAGCTTCAATTCTCCCAGCGGAGCAGCTAGCTTGTCATGGCCAAAAGCAATGCGAGACAGCTCATGGAGTGTTCAGTGCTGCATGCATTATCAGCGCCGACACAGAAAGAGCAAAGGCTCAGACCCATGGAGGTGATAGTTTCTGCAAAGCAACACTCAACACACAAGTGGTGCCACCTATACAGTCACTATCAGTTAGCTTTTGTTGTTTCTCGAGACAGGGTTTCTCTGTAGCTTTGAAGCCTGTCCTGGAACTCACTGTGTAGACTCACAGAGATCCGCCTGTCTCTGCCTCCCAAGTGCTGAGAGGAAAGGCGTGTGCCTCCAGCACCTGGCATCAAGGACAAAGTATCGACTTTGCACAGGGATCGACTCTGTCTCGATGATGTAATAGGCAAATCTTATCTCTAAGTTTCTAAACAATGCCAGAGGAAGGCTTAGCAAAGAGATTCTTGCTCTTCTTTTCCCGTTTGCAAAAGAATAACAAAAGAGAAAAGAAAAAGAATAGAAGAACATAGGTCCATAGTAGGGCCAAAGTCACAGCAATAAGGAGGCTGAAGCAGGAAGAGTCCTGTGATTTGAAACCAACCTGGGATACATAGCAAATTCCAGGCCGGCCAGGGCAATAAAGTGGGACCCTGTCTACAGACTTAACTAAATCTCTATCTTTTCTTAGCAGCTGTCAAACTTTACAGCTTGCTATGTGTGTGTGTTTCTTCTCAAATTCTTTTTCTTTTCTTTCTTTCTTTCTTTCTTTCTTTCTTTTTTTTTGTTTTGTTTTTCGAGACAGGGTTTCTCTGTGGCTTTGGAGCCTGTCCTGGAGCTAGCTTTGTAGATCAGGCTGGTCTCAAATTCACAGAGATCCTCCTGCCTCTGCCTCCCGAGTGCTGGGATTAAAGGCATGTGCCACCATCACCCGGCTCTGAGATAGGTTTCTTTGAAGCTTTTGGAGCCTGTCCTGGCACTCACTCTGTAGACCAGGCTGGCCTCGAACTCACAGAGATCCACCTGTCTCTGCCTTTCAAATGCTGAGATTAAAGGCGTGTGCCACTGTTGCATGGCTTCTTCTCAAATTCTAATTAAATGGTCCTGGAGCTTCAGAAACAAACAAGCAGGGTGTAGTTAGTTGCCCACACTTTTAATCCCAGAAATTGTGAAAAAAGCAGAGGCAAATGGATCTCTAAATTCGAGGCTACCCTGATCTACAAATCAAATTCCAGAATAGCCAGAGCTGTACAGAAAAACCCTGTCTTGAAAAACCAAAGCCAGGCTGGGTGGTGGTGGCGCACACCTTTAATCCCAGCACTCGGGAGGCAGAGACAGGTGGATCTCTGTGAGTTTGAGTCCAGCCTGATCTACAAGAGCTAGTTCCATAGTTCCAGGACAGGCTCCAAAGCTATAGAGAAACCCTGTCTCGGAAAAAAAAAAGAAAGAAAGAAAGAAAAAAAGAAAAACCAAAACCAGCACTGGAGAGATGGCTCAGAGGTTAAGAATACTGACTGCTCTTCCAGAGGTCCCGAGTTCATGCAGGCAGAACACTGTATACAGAATAAATAAAAAAGAAAAACCAAAACCAACCAACCAATCAAAAAAGACTCAGGTGCCCTCTGAATCTTCTCCATTCTGTCTTTAATTCCAAAGAAACCAGGAGCTGAGCACAGGTGAGGGTTTGGATTTAATCACCAGCACCATACAAATTCAAAACAATTAGCCATAAAAAATTAAATCTGTGCCTGAAGAAAAAGACCCAAAATGGAATGAACTTTTTTTTGGGGGGGGGGTTAGTTTTAGGGTTTCTCTGTGTGTCCCTGGCTGTCCTGGAATTAGCTCTGTAGACCAGGGTAGTCTCAAACTTACAGAGGTACACTTGCCTCTGCTTCTCTAGTCCTGGCTGGAATGACACCTCCTCCCCACCCACACTCCCCATGCTTACTTATTTGTATGTGTGCATGTATGGGTAAGGATGGAACCCAGGGTCTTATACATGCTAGGAAAAGCACTCTACCATTGAGACATGCCCAGTTCTTATGTGTTTATTCTTTTTTGTTGGTTTTTTGAGACAGGGTCTTTTTTTTTTAAGTGTTCTGTCTGTCTGTATGCTTTGCTGGCCAGAAGAGGGCACCAGATCTCATTATACAGATGGCTGAACTCAGGACCTCTGGAAGTGCTCTCAACCTCTGAGCCATCTCTCCTGCCCCTTGAGACAGGGTCTTACAGTGTAGTTCAGGCTTTTTTAAAACTCACTATATAGCTCAGGTTGACCTTACATTTACAGCAATCCTTCTGCCTCAGCCTCTTGAGTACCAGCATTATAGACAATGAGCCATCATGCCTGGCTCCTATAAGTTTATTATTATAAATAATAAGAAATTATGCTTTATGGCTGCAAGGTAGGACATGGCAGCACATGTCTTTAATCTCAGTACTCTGGAAGCAGATTCAGGCAAATCTGTGTGTTCGAGGCGAGCCTGATCTAGAGAGAGTTCCAGGACGGCGAGGACTGTATACAGAGACTTTGTCTCAATAAATAAATAAAAAAAATAAAAGTGGTGGAGAGGGACAGTAAGGGGACAAACTAAAGTTTGACAAAAAAAGGGGGGGTGTGGCAGTAAAATGGCTCAGTGGCTAAATCTGACAACTGAGAACCAATCCCCCAAAGCCCCAAAAGTTGCCCTCTGACCTCAACACATGCCATGCCATGTGTAAACAGCTCCACAAAATAAATACAATAAAAATTAAAGTTAGGGCTGGAGAAACAGCCCTGTGGCTAAGAAGCGGTACTATTATTTGGGAGGGGTCGGACCTGGCTGAGATAGGGCCTCTGTTCAGGCCCCAGGCTGTCCTGGAACTCAGGCTGGCCTTGAACTCACAGAAATCCACTTGTCCGCTGAGTGCTGTGACTCAAGGCCTGTGCGCCCCGCCCCCACCATCACCAGGCTCAATCTTCAGCGTAGAAAGTGAAAGAAAGGCAGCTTCGAGAAAACAACACTGGTTGCTAACACCAAACAACTGCTCAGAGGGAGGAGGGCTGGGCCC